AATGTTAAAATGTTTTCCTGTAATGCCCGCATTCACTGTGAGAGCCCTTCTCACAGAAGATCCATCACCTTCAGAGAGCTGGCTTTTTTGAAACATATACTACAATATTTTTAGGAATCACTTGAAGAAAAAGGAAACTGCTTGTCCCCAGCTGGCATAGCCAGTTCATTATTTGTGTTTTTCTGGCAGTAAAGAGATCAAAGCAAACTTCATCAGGAAGTATCACTTTCCCTTTTGACCTAATCAGTTAATCAAAGATCTATGATCTTTTCAGTGCAGTTCTCTTTGGAGAGGAAGCTATTGGAATAATGTCTTCACAAATAGGCAGGTCTGCTTGAAAGAGAACATATGAAGTGCTGTTTCCACAGACAAAGGAGGAATCTGAAAACAGAGCTGTATGGGTAGTGATCTCCAAAAGTTTGTTTTAGGCTGTTCTTGGTCCAAAATCTTTCCCTCTCTTTGCTTTTTTCAAGGTGGGAGAAAAGATGGAGGCTTCCAAGGAAACACAGCCCTACTCAAATCCACACAGGATTTACTCACAGTACAAAATCGTGCTGATCGGCTCATATTGCTGGAAGCAAGGTCTCCCTTCATGTCTATTTTGCATCTGTCAGAATAGCCATTTCCCCATTACACCATCACTGTTCCCTCTCTCCCTCTCTCTCATGCTACTCTATCTTTTTTCTTTCCTTTTCCTGGTGCACAAACTTGCCTACACAAGCCAGTAGCCAAAGGCCACTATCCAAAAGGTAATTCAGGCTCCTAAACAAACATATTTAATGCCTGTGCTTTAGCTTCAGAGCTGCTGCTTTTCCTTACTCTGTTGCCAAAAGAAGGCACCTGTACCATTCAACGTTTCAGTGTGGCTTGGCTGGCCACTGACAGGATTTCATCCTCTCCAAAAATGTGCTTGCTATTCTGTTTATTTATTCTTATATGCCAAATTACTCGCAGCTGTGTATGTGCTCTTTGCTTCACAGACAATGAGTGAAACTCCCAACCATTAGACCTCCAGGGAAAGTCTCCTGTTTGGACAGGTCCTTGTGCAGGAGATGCTGTGAGGTACAGGGCCTGCAAAGATCTATTTTTCCAATAGAAGCAGAGATTATTTTCTTCATTTTGTCATGGAAGGCACAATTCTTCCTAGAAGGAAGCCAAGGAATCAGTGGCATGGTAAATTTACACATAGGCATAGAACTGTGGTGGTATGTTACAAAAAAATAATGTGGCAAGGGGAGCTACCAGACAGCTCTGCCATCAAGGCTCCACCGAGCAGCATGGCCACCCATCAACCTTAAAGGTGCTTTGTCTCATAACACATTCATTTCCTAGGGAAGCAGGATTTGATCCAATGATCCTTTCCACCTGGATCTTTACAGGCAAAAGACAGAGACTGTGACTTCTGCTTGGCTGTTTGTGTCACTTCTTTTGTCTGTAATGAGAGAGACTCACCAATATCTGAAGGCCGAAGTTGACGTGGCAGCAGCAGTCACAGTCTCTCTGTTCAGAGGCAAAATGAGGACACAGAATAATCTCTGGTACTTGGCTCCTTCCTATTTTTCTGCTTTTGGGACAGCGCTCAATACTGTGCAGATCATATGCAGACTCCTAAAAAAGCAAATTATGTAAATAACAACACTGGTGATGATACTGACACGAGAATTGTAGAGAGTCATTTCATAAGAATGGAGCTGTGCTGCGTAGCTACCCAGTTCATGACCCAGACACACAGAAGTTTATTAGGGCCTCTCTTAACCAGCATTTATTTGTCTTCTTAGCTGCACGTTTGTACACACTGTACTTTGACATTTACTGTCCTGCAATAGCCATCACAGTGGGCAGCTTAACCTTGTGTATGAGAAGCCATCCGTAAAGGTCAAGGGTGGAAAAAATGCCCCTTTTTTCCTTTTATCAACACACTTGTTCAAAGCTTTTATTTGACATCTGATCTGACCTTGACTTGACTTTCACATCCCTGGTTAAAGTCAGATTCACAATGCTGTCTGATATATCATATATGCCATCAAATTCAGGTGTGCAGAGGCGATATTTTGAAAGCAGGAGCACTGATAAGACTGTATGCATCCAACAATTTCTTAATCTCTTATTGGCTCAGCTGCCTCACTGCAGTGTTCCTTTGTGTCCTTGAACACAGCTCTCTGTTTGAATTGCAAGCTGAATTTCATATCTGCACCTCAGACATGCTGATGTGATTTCCCTGTGTTCCACACAAATATTGGTCAATGTGACTATCACCCAAGGAATTTTCATATTGCATAGGTCTAGCATATACATGACACCTAGACCAATGTTAGAAACATGGCTGTCAAAATGAAAGCTGAATGTGGAGCCACTTCTGCACGTTTTTCCTGTTCCTCTGCTCTCCAGCAGATAAAAACTTCTATACTGGAGACATTGCAGAGAGTTTAAAGGTCATGTCTTTGTCTTTCCAGTCATTACATGCATTCCTGAAATAACTATAAAATTAGAAGTTCTATAAAAAAAAATAAATGCTATTCTATACTATTGTATCCAAAGGAAATTTGTAGTGATACAAATTAAATAGTAAGCACAAAGCTTTCTGTGAGGCTACTGAGTGAAAAACAGAAATGCAGATAATTAATGAGAATATCTGTCTTTGCATATTCACTTCCCTCTCCACCAGAAGCCATTAATCTTTAAATGTGCATGAAAAGGACGCGCAAGTCAGCACACAAAGAGGGTGTATTAAGGACACTAAATACATTAAGGACAGCTCATATGTTAGCATGAGCAATCCATCTTATTATTCTTACCTCTCCAGGCCATAGGTGACTGCATCGTCACCTTTCTGATTGTGTTACAGCGACATCTGGGAATTCTTAGGCTGGAAGAGTGAGGGGATCCCAGCTTCTATTCCAAAGTGTTTAAACTTTTTATAGGTATATATTGAGTTATCTTTACTTTTGATGAGCCTTTAAAACATTTTGTCTTCTAGTTATGCTTAAATGTCATGAAGGGGGAAAATCATAATTATGAATTGAATCCTGTATTGCTTCTGGCATCAATTTCTTATAATCTTATCTTTCCCACAAGCAAAAATTTTTTAGCAAGGAGGAGACATATCTGTACTTTGAAGTTAAACAAAGTATTTTAACAAAACTAATTCTGATTGTAAAAATAAATAGTGGGATGAAGGAATATCTATGTATTCTTACTTCCTTTCTCTCTAAGATCTTCAAATAGTTCAGAAACATGATAGAGTCTGTTACACACAAACACACACTTGAAGGAATCAAGGACTTCTAATCAAAACATTCTTTGAGAGGTAGGTTACCAAGCAGATTACCAGGACAGTTCTTGAGTAGCTGGAAATTTAAAATTCCTTAGCTCTTCTCCATACCAAACACTAATCATTTAGCCCAGATAGAAAAGTTCAAGCATAAGAAAAGACAACTCAGGCCAAAATTGAAGATCCGTGAAACACTGAAGTTGTTCTACCTAATTAAACAGGCTCTATCTCTTAACAAAAGGCCTAAGCTGCACTTCAGATGCTTTAGGCCAGATCATCTCTCTAAATTCTTTTATTTTGTTCCAGGACCCTCACCTGGATTTTCAGGAACTTGATCTACCTTTTTATTTCAACTTTCAGTCATAAAGTTCTGCACTGTAAAACCAGTGCCCTTCGTCAAGCTCCCAAATTTGTGCAGTTTAATGATCCCATATGCTGTAACTTCCTTTTTGATCTCAACAGTCTGATCTCAACCATTTTATAGACCTCCACATAATTATCTGAAAGCTCTGCTACCACATCCCCTCTGCAAGGGCATGCTTTTTACTCCTGGAAGACTTCATATATAACTAGCTTTCTAACTGAATTTCTCCCCTCCGTTTATCTCCTACCTCTGGCCTTGGGTGATGTGACTTCACTGGCCACATCTCACCCGGAGAAACCTTTGAGTCCGCATTACCCAGATTTACAGTTTAAGAATTTAAGGCACAAAGAATAGGGTTGGTTGAAGATGCCTTGTATTAATTACTTTTCAGAGAAAAATGTATTTTTATAAAAAATGCTTTTCAAAATGTGCCTGACATTTGTGATCTATTTTTTCTGAAATCCTTCAAGTGTGTAAGTTCCTCATGAAACTTGAAGGTTGGCATTAAAATTGCACAAAAATCAAAGACTGTGGTGGGTTATTTTTGTTGAAAATTTTCACAGGAAATAAAAAAGTTAGCCTTATAGATTAAGTGATCAAGTTATAAAAGAAACCTATAACTGAGCTGGAAAGAAGTACCCATGTTTCCTGACTTTATCTCAGTCATACAACCATCCCAATGTAACTGTTAGGACATACTAATAAACAAACCTGTTAATTATCTGGGAATAATGCAGTAATCCTAAAAATAAGAAAAGCATTTCACAGCTGCCAAAAATCAGCAAAGGTGTGGGGGTCATATCTACGCTAAATTACATTTAAAATCAATTTACTCAGATGTATGTGAAAGTAATATCTGTTCTCCAGAAATATCTTACCTCTTTCTAATGAAAAAAGTAAGCATGGCTTCCAAATATTCTTGCTTAGATTTGTATTTCATAGTAATGTACAAATAGGGAAGATAATGCTACACATGGTTGGGGTTTTTTTCAACAAAAATGGAGAAAAAAGGAACGGGAAAAAAGACAGGTGGAATAGTATCCTGAGAACAGTTTTTTCTGCTTGTGATAGATCTCGAGGCACTAAGAAGGTTTATTTGTCCCGGAAGTAGAACTGTTGGGCTAAAACCACAACATAAGATATGCTCTGACATTCAATTAATGAATATTCCAGGTGTTTAGGGCCCCTGTGTGAAGCACAGGGAAATGAAATGAAGTTCTTCTGCCTGATGTATACAAGACTTAAAGGGAAAAGAAAAGAGCAGAAAATACTGGAGTTTGGGGACCAACATGCTACAGGCGGGCTCTAACTGTAGAGTGATTCTATTTTTGACAATACAAGAGAAAATCTGATTCTCTCTCTTTTTCTTTTTTTCTCTTCTCCACAGAAGACTTCACAAAATTCTTCAGAAGAGCATCGATTCTTCCTAATGAAGACAAAAGAAAAAAAAAATTAAATCTCTAAAATTTCTGTGGGTATGAAAGCTGATTTCATCTGGCTCTTCAAGCATGAGCTAATACTCAACAGAAAACACAGCTGCAAAGTTCACAACTCACAGAACTATAGAGAGCAGCTGTGTTTAAACCCTCAGCCAGCAACGGCCCAGTTCTTCCAGAACTGTGTTAAAACCCTTTTGTTAAGAGCAAGCACCTGGGCTGCCTTTCACTCATCACCTCCCACTGGCCAAACTACATTTCAGTCATAACTACCCCAAAGCTCATAGCTTTAAAGAATTTGTCCTAATCAAGGAGCACTGCTCAAGCAAAGATGTAACCAGCAAGTGCCAGCTAAAGGGTGAGGTTTCTCTAGCTTGGTCAGATTGAGTTAAGGGTTTGCAGCCAGTGAAGGGGATAGGGCTTCTCCTCATTCACGTCTGCACGCTCTGCCCCTGCCTGGTTCGCACCCCTTCTGATGTTTCTCAGATCTGTTTTGTGGGTTAAATCAACTGGCTAACCTGGCAGGAAAGTAACCCAGCAAAAACAAATGGATATTTTTCTATTGAGCTGTTTGGTTGAACAGCTTTATGGAAGGGTACTGTGAGCCTCAAGGCCATGAGGGAGGAAGTCACAAGGGCCCACCTGCAAAAAAAGGCAAGAGAAAAGGCGGAGCAACGCAACCCCTTCACAACAGAAATACAACACTAAATCAGTTCAGTTGCTTGTGAAACTACAACCTAAATCTAACCCTAACAAATTTTTTCCTGTGCAAATATAAAGTAATGCTTGTAGTTCACATTTAGTAGGTTGAGAAAGTTTAGTTTGTTTGGAAAATATAAAATATCTTTCATGAGAGATCCTATTTAGCAGTTTTCAATTACTCAAAAAGTTAATGGGCTCAAAGGGTCAGATCCCTTTGAGAGACTTCATAGTGAACTTATGTTCAAAGTCTGGAATTTTACTAATGTACTGTAATTACTTATTCTTATAAACCTGTCTACAAAAATACTGCCAGAATCTGATAGGGAGAAACATCTCATAAGCGAATAAAATGCTGCTTTGATAGCCTTTACTAGCATATTTTGATTTCTTCTATTATTCTCGATGAAATTGTTATCCCTAGTGGTTTTGACCAAATGAAAGTATAAAGCCACTTGGACTAGTACACAAATCAACTCAATTTTGCATGTCCTATAGCTACAAAGTAATTACTTAGAATATCCTAGTTTTGATGCCTGGTGTACATAGTTGTGAAAGGGAAAAATGAAATTAAAATTTTGCTTATAGATGTATTAGTATTATCAGTATATGCAATACCATTGTGAAACGTTTTAAGAGTAGTGAGCTGGAAAATAAATGAAATAGAAAAACTCCAATACAACATTTATTAATAGTCAATAATTAATAATGAGAAGTTCACAGAGCTTAGAAACCAGATATAATTTTTTTTTTATTTCACTGAAAACCGTGATCATGAAGTTATTACAAAAATATTAGAAGAATTAGTTTTAAAGCACCCTCTAAAGTTAGGCAGACTATTGTCTTTTCTTGATAAACTCAAATTTAAGTTTTTAACGCAACCTTTAACTATCCCATCCTTCTACACTGCCAAAATCAGAGGTGTAGATCAAGTCATGTTGATAAGCGAAACAGGAGAACCTAGTTTTTAAAAAAGCAGGTCATTCTTGTTTCTTTTTTCTGTGGTTATCTCACCGTAGTGCCTGCTGTCCAAGAATAAAATCTGTACTTGTTTCTTGGCTTTTGTTAGTCCGTGTGGCTTTCATTAACACAATATTTATCAACCTTCCCACAGTTTAAATATAAGAGAACTAGAAAGACATATTTCAGTAAGTTGAAACGGAAAACACCGTTTTATTTTTAAGATATCTTTCAAAAAAATGTATCAAATTACATGAACAAAGCTTAACTGCCAATCAAAACTCCAGCTAGGGTGAAATGCTGCAAATAAGATGGCTCACAAAGGATAGTACTGGAGTATGCTGAGTGAAAATGGTCCTGCATTTACAGCCCCACAATTTTAACTCATCATAACTATGCCACAAGTTTTCTTGATAAGTTCCCAAATTCAGCTCTATCATACCTATTTATTTTGTAGGTATTTAGTAAATACATTGTAGAACATGTTAGAAGGTTGCAAAGCATGCTGGTTATAGTGAAGGTAGAGCCTGACATTAGAGCTAAGTTGATACAAAGCAGGCGCTGCTGGAAGTGTCGTTCAGCCCTCCCTCTCTGCCAGTTGTGCACTTCTGCCTCTTCCCTACCAGTAGATTGAGGGACCCTGAAGAAACAAAGTAAAGCAGTTAAGCAGCAAATTAACCCTGCTGAGGAAAAAAGAAAAAAGTTCTGTCTTATCTCCGATTACCCTGTGAACCCTGCTGGCAAAGAACAGCAGCGTCTATGGATCCATGGATAGCAGGAACCTGTCATAGGAGAAGTTGAGCAGGCAAACTCTTTCCAGTGTGACCTGCCCACTAGATCAACTTAGGTGTAATGTCAGACTGCACTCCCGGTATAAATGGTGCAGTTTCATTAGGGTTCCTTTTGCTAGAGGACAAATCAAGACTGCAGACTCCAGGAGGCTGTGGTATATATGGGACTTGTGAATGATTTGACACCAAAGTTGGAATAGGTGTTTTGCCTGAGGTGGAAAGAAAGAAGCAAAAGGATAGTCTCATGGCTGGGGAATTGACTCATAATGAGATTCAGGGAAGTAGCTCTGTCCCAACCATCTAGTTCATGTGTGATGAGAAAGAGGTCATTAAGACAACTCCTCTATTGTGGTCACTACTTCTGTGCACCTCATTTTCTAGGTGCCTGGCCTGAGTTGCTGATGTGGCAAGAGGAGGTATTTTCCATCTGAAAATCCTAATCCAATGATGCAGAGCCTGAAATGGGAATTTCAGTCCAGCTGGTGCAGGTGTAGGTCCCAATTCCAGGTCCCGACCCTTATAGCCTGCCTCACTGTCTGCTGGAGAACTGCAGCCTCATCACTGCTGGTTGGCTCGGGCTCCCGCCTTGCAGGTGTCCCTTCCTCAGCAGCCATCTCTGCTCATACTAGCGGGAGGACAACATGGATGCTACCCTGAAACATCTCTCTGAGGTAGGGGGCCCAAGACTCTCCAGACACCAATGCTACACTCAGTAAAACTGTGTATTTTGCACCAAAATTATCAGGAACTTCAAGATCTGATTCACTACATCATTACTGCAGACTTTTGACAGGATAATTTCTCAGGAAACCTTTATACAGAAAAGCAGTCACACAACTATGAATTATTC